TGTGGAGAGAGTTCGCTGCGACCCCCATTCACCTTCCAAACTGCGCGAAACGGTCCTAGACTCTCGGGCCCGCACTTATAGAAGCTCATAGAATATCTGAGATTGTTTTTAGAATTTTTCAACTCTTAGAACATAATAAATTAAATATCCAAATCGTAAATCATTATATTCGAACATAGAAAATCGTGTTTGATAATTTTAAAAAGAATTCCATTTAAATAAATTAAAAAATGTACTGTAATTACATCGAAGTCGAGAGAAAATGTGCGATTATTGAAAGTACCATTTTACATACATGATTCGAACAATCCGTGGGACAATGCCATTCAAATAGCCGAAGAATTCGGGTAATAGAGACTCAACAGCTATGCCCATTTCGCTATGTAAGTTCTGATATGTGAGATCAGTGTTAGAATAATAGAGAGGCTCTCTGTTCACAAAAAGCTATGTTGTATGTGGATAGACGAGGTGCTATTGTATTTCAAAGTTGTCACAAAACAACTGACAGACCCAATAAAAATGGCCAAAACTGCTTCAATTAAGGCCATCATCAATAGTATACATCACTGACCTCAATAAAATACTAGATAGTAAGGTGCACTCGTTACGAAAATAGCCCCAGCTGAAACAAGCTGTGGCCATTTATTACTGAGGCCTTTAAGGCGTTATGACCTGAAATAATTGGCCAATTATTCTTGATATTTGAAGTTTTTCATAAAAACACCTGAAAAACCCCAATAAAAATGGACACAGCTACTTCAATTGGTCCCAATTGAAATTAGCCTGGGCCATTTTTATTAACGCCTGAAATAGTCTGCCATTCATTAATGGTGTTTGAAACCGGTTTGGATACACGAGGTTCGGATAAACAGAGTTATACTGTAACAAATGGCTTTGTCTTTTGTTTAAAAAATCACATGCACCAAAGTTTTGAACGACAATATATTTATGTATGTATCGTATAACGTACTCGACGAAAGTTTGACACTTTGCGTTAAAAATTACAACAATAATAGATGCTAATTGAGCTTATCGATCACTGGAATTGTATATGTACTATCGAGAACACGTTCTATCTGTTAATATTAGCACCATAACTGTATCGTTTTTTCGATGAGCTGCGTAACGAAAACTAACGTTCACCTGAACGTACCATTTAATTATCTTGCTTAGATTAGGAGATACAATATCCACACACCGCGGTACCATTTGGACACTTACAATTTTCTTTACACGAGGCTAGTTGGAAAGCTAATCGTAAAGGTTTCAGAGATTAATTCTAGTTTGAGAGGATACGAATTGTTAACGTAACGTATTAGCTATTTTGTACAGTTTCTTTTCTTGTTTAAGAATTGAAGAATGTATTCTGGGTTTGAATACCATTTTTATGAAACTTACAAGTGCATTGGGTTTTATTATATTAGGTCGATGCAAAAGTAATCAATTTTTGTAAAACACTCCAAATAATAAAGAATATAACTCACGTAATTTGGATTATTTTCAGTTGAAAAAAATTCATCATACATTTCAAATGTCCATTAATATATGTGTATAAAAATTACTGTACGAATTTTAATAGTTTTCTTAGGAAAATTTCTAATAAATGCTTATAAACTCGCATTAAAAGAATATCCTCTTAAACACTANGGTATTAAAACAGAGGAGAATATTGGGAAGTAGGACAAGTTCAACAATAGGTAGGGATTTCTGAAGAGAGTAGATGAAAGGTATGGGGAAGAAAGTGAAAAGTGTTCAAAAGGAAGGCAGAATAAAAAGGGGAAAGAATAACATGTGTTTTTGTTTCTTTTTCGGATAGAGATTAAAGATTACTTCAATTTAATTTTATTTCAATTTGACTTCAAGCAAGATGGAGCAATGCTATGAAAGAACAATTCAATTTAGTTTAGGTGAAGAAGTGCGAGTTAAGTTTCGTTTATCTCTTTTCAATGTTAATTACTCTAAACAACATTTATTTCCGCTTTCGACAGTGTTTTAGAAAGTACATTTTATTTTAAGCAAAGTGCGAGGTGAAGGCTAAGAGTTATTAGTAATTACAGTCGAAAGAAAGGAGGCGAATAGGATTAATTTAAATTTAAAAGTAGTATGTTAAGAATAGGAATGTACAAACAGCCGGAAAGAAGGATTAACAATGTACTGTAAGAGACGATATATACGGAAGTCTGCCAACGCCAGAAGGCTAAGCAATTAAATAATAATAATAATAATAATAATAATAATAATAATAATAATAATATCGAGGAAGAGAGTAGAATTTAATATGAAATCAAAGACCATAGAATGATTAAAGGGAACAAAAAGGAAGAAAGAAGGAAGGAAGTATTGTAGGAAAGAGTAGAAATGTCTAATGTGAAACCATAGATCAGAAATAAAAGTAAGATAAAATAAGATTGAAAATAATTATAATGTTAAGTAAATTATAAAGTAACAGAGAGGGAAAAAGCAGGGAGAGCGAAGGTAGATGAATTGATAAGGAGAGAGAGGAAGAAAGCAGGAGAAGGAATGTAAGAGTGACGATAGAAGAGAGAATGTGGGGCACGGAGGAAGAAAACGAAAGCGCTGTTCAAGGAGTTACTATGTACAAGGTATTAAAACAGAGGAGAATATTGGGAAGTAGGACAAGTTCAACAATAGGTAGGGATTTCTGAAGAGAGTAGATGAAAGGTATGGGGAAGAAAGTGAAAAGTGTTCAAAAGGAAGGCAGAATAAAAAGGGGAAAGAATAACATGTGTTTTTGTTTCTTTTTCGGATAGAGATTAAAGATTACTTCAATTTAATTTTATTTCAATTTGACTTCAAGCAAGATGGAGCAATGCTATGAAAGAACAATTCAATTTAGTTTAGGTGAAGAAGTGCGAGTTAAGTTTCGTTTATCTCTTTTCAATGTTAATTACTCTAAACAACATTTATTTCCGCTTTCGACAGTGTTTTAGAAAGTACATTTTATTTTAAGCAAAGTGCGAGGTGAAGGCTAAGAGTTATTAGTAATTACAGTCGAAAGAAAGGAGGCGAATAGGATTAATTTAAATTTAAAAGTAGTATGTTAAGAATAGGAATGTACAAACAGCCGGAAAGAAGGATTAACAATGTACTGTAAGAGACGATATATACGGAAGTCTGCCAACGCCAGAAGGCTAAGCAATTAAATAATAATAATAATAATAATAATAATAATAATAATAATATAAAAGAAGTAAATCATAAGGCAAGTTGTGGATAGATGTGAGCTGTTTAATTTATGTGTAACTTAGCCGATACGCAAAAATTATAATAAATCTATGTAGATCTCTAAGTAAATCTCTATTACTTTCAGATTGTCATCCTGTTTCCTTATACTTCTCAAATAAAAACACCTAACGTCCTAAATATTTCCTGTATATGTCTTACATATTTTTTCGTGCACAAGTGTCACATGTTTCTCACATTTTCTCGAACATGAACATCCGAAGTCGAGGAATCCTTAACGTACCCATGCGATAAAATAATTAACTGATGATAAGGAAATTTAGACAGTACAAACGCTAGCGATAAAAATGTACGGAATGTTTTTTTTAATATATCAACAAAACGGGTGTTAATATAAAAATGTGAACAGCTTACGTACGTGTAATCTTTTCTTACATTTATCATTCGCGACGACGATTCTAATCGGAAAATTAGTTAAAAATTTTGTTGATAAATGTCCGAGTCACGCGTCTGTCTTTACACGTCTCGGTAATCGCTACAATTTTATTACTAGACTGCGGATTTTCATACAAAATAAACTATTTATGGTAGAAATTGAACAAGAAGTGTTTCTCCTATCATTTAAGTATTGCAATACGCACTTTGTTTTTTATATTTTCTACACTTTTATACATTGCATGTTTATATTTTTTGCACATTCAGTTTTATTTATACGATCCGCAGTCTATCATCGATAATTTTGAGAAAGGATCACGAACGAAATACGAAACCATAATTTATTGCTATAAATATACTTTTCATTGAGCGTCTAAGGCTCACATGTATTTTTAAAACGATTCAATTAAGAAACTCAAATGTACAAGTAAACAAGAACAGCACTGTTTCAGTTCGAACAGAGCATTTCTCCCGTTTCGAACAATCTAAATTAATCTTAATTCCGCTAATTCCTCGCGAAAGCTAAAGCAGCAAGTTTCTTCGTTAGGAACATTCGCCCATCGTTAAAGAAATGATATATCTGAGCGTGACGTAACTGAATTATATATCATATAACTCGACACTTTACCTTACTTACAGTTTCAGAGATTGAGAGAACATATGGTGCAAGTTTGAGCGATGCAGTGGGCATGTAAGTGGGTCGACGGCGCCGACGATGGCGGCGGGGGCGGCGGAGGTGGTGGTGGAGGCGGTGGCGGTGGCGGTGGAGGAGGCATGTATAGCCATCCAGTAGCAGATGGCCAAACGGTACCCGATGCGGAAGAAACCGGTAGCAACGTGTTCGCACCGCTTCCCGGTGTTGCGTGCGACGTTGGTCCACCCTCTACTCACATTACCTAGAAAAAACAATCTCTTAATTATGATATATTACAAAATTACAAAATTTTGTCATTGTTCCATTTATATCTTTTCATAAATGAAATCAAAATTCTGTCATTCGAAGAATAAGAATTCAAGATGTAATAACATTTTTAATAGGTTTGCAAAAGGGCCTAGCCGGATAAGAAGGTCAAAAGTGTCCTTGCAAGTGTTTGCGCTATTCGATAGCTTATCAAGAAAGGTACATTCATTCCAATTTTTAGCCCTATATCTCAACCAGGGGGGTAGTAATCGGGAAAATTCGAAACATCAATTTTTTCAAGTTTTTCCTTGTTTAACGCCTTGTGAAAAATCTGAGAGAATTCTAACATGATCGTAGTGTAGCTGGACATGTCTGAGAATTTTTTCAAATTTTTCCCTTGCCAAATGTAACCGTGAAAAATAAAAGTGTTAAAAATAATTCTTTTACATAAAAATCTGGAATGCACTTTTATGCACTGTAATGACAGTGAAATTTCGAAAAGGTGTATGCCCTCTTAACTTGAAAATCCCATAGAGCGAATTTCGATATGGTCTTGTGGATATACCGAGTAATCAGGTTATACGCCAGGCTACATTTCTTACATATTTTCTGCCTCGAAGCACACAGGGTGAGTACATTATTTTCTTATAGCTATGAACTTGCTTCAACGTATCGGCGTGTATCGATCAAGGGCGATCAGCTGTCAGTCATATGACGATGCAAGTCGAATTGCCTGATTCGGGCGCAAAAACGCCAAATTTTTATTTATCAATAACTAATTAACAAAGCTCGAACCATAATTTTGTCACTCTTTATTTTCGTCTAGTTTGGCTCCTAGAATATGATCCTCAAATATTGCTTACTAGTAGTATTACACACTGTATATGTTTGTTCTCACATTTACTGTTTATTGAGCAGAGTTCAGTATTTAATCAAAATTGGAGTGGATGTTTCTTTTTTGATAAGCTATCGAATGGCACAAGCGGCGCTTCATTCAACTCAAGGACACTTTTAATCCTCTTATCCAGCTAGGCCCTTTCTGAAGTTTTGTACTGTATTTTATTAATGTAATATCTAGTAGCTGTTAAAATGTAAATGCTTTAACATTGTTTTTATGTAAGGGGTCATAAAACCGTTAGATTCTATATAAAATTATTAGAAAAAGAGTCAGTGAGTAGAATTTTTGACGTGAACAGAAATTAGGACACTCATTATGTGTGTATGTATTAATCGGCTTGTTCGTAGTACAAATCAAGGCTAATAAGATCGTATCACTGCGGACCTGTAAGATTTGACTGGCTTCGAAAGCCGTTCCAGGGAGCAATATCACTGGACTACTGACGTGACCGCTCTCAACGCAAATCATGTTCGGGAACTCGTCGTCGCCGAAGTCTGGAATGTCACGAGCCTTCTCCTGCCAAGGATTCCAAACGACCGTATCGGGAAAATTGTACTTTTGCACGCGCATCTTCCTGCCGGACACGACGTTCGTGATTATGTGCTCCGGTTGCGTGTTCTGGTAAATTCTGTCCGTCCACTCGCACACGGTCACCACGTCGCGACCTTCTTGAAAGATTTGGTTGTCTCTCGTCTGCAAATGAACAAAATTCAATTTTAAGTGCGTCGTTTAATCTATTTAATTTATAATATCAGATGCGTGTATATGAAACATTATACGGTGGTCGAAATCGCGAGAAAGCTGATCAAAGAATTTTGAAGAAATTTTCGATACATATTTACGATTATTACGATTATTTCGATAATATGTACATATAACAACAAACATTTATGTAAGTGTATAAACCAAATACTATTTTTACTAATAATAAATTATTAAGCAACAAAACCGTAAATTTCTATACTAATCCCTCTTGAAACTGAGAAAATTAAATTGTTTGCCTGAGAATAAACAGCAATTCAAAGGATTAATCATAGCATATGAAAAATTGAAATAATATCAATAATGTGTAGGTAAATTAATTTTAAATTCAGCACCACTGCTCCTCTCGGACGTCTTGTTCCTACAATTTAAAGAGTTTACCTAAACCATATGATT